CCCTACCTGGAGGGATTGATTAAATGGAGTGATTTGAGGGGTGCCAGGAAGTCTCCTCTCCTCCTTTGAAAGAATAATCCACTGCCCCAGCAGGTTAAGGTGTCTGGAAACAAGTCATTACAGCTTTAACAGATTTGGGTCAGCCCTGCCAGCAGGATTCAGGATCCAGCACCATTGTAGACAGTTTTCTCATCTATAAAATATATAATACTACTAACTTCTTTCACAGTATTGTGAATGCTGTATATAGAGGTACTTTATAAGGTTTAATAACCAATAAAAATGCACCTGTGCCTGACAGTGTGTAGAGAGCAATCAGCTGGGTTCTCTTAGGGGCGAGAGAGAGGACAGGCTTGGTGGGCAAATGAGCACTTGAGTGTCAGGGAGGAAGGCAGGAAGGAGACTGGGGCAAGGAGAAACAGAGATACCAAAACCAACATCCTAATTTGTCCCCAGTGGAGCCTCTGCTGTGAAAGTGCTAGATGCTTGATTCTTCAGCTGGCTAAAAATAGCCATGAAGTCAGGAGACCTGTGACCCAACCCTGGCTTCAACATAACCTTTGTGTGACCTTGGGTAATCTGTTTCCCTCTATAAAATGAGGATAATGTGCCCAATAAGGAAGCTGAGTGCCAAGGTAATGTGTTGAATGCACATGAAGTTGATTGTATCTTGTATATGTGTGATCTAGCAAACATAGTCATGTTTGGGTCTCTATCTTGGCTACCTCTGGAGTATCTTAGGAGATGATAATTGTATCATAAGTTAAGTTCTTATCACTAGAAAGAACTTTTCAACATTAAGCAGGAATTGTTTATTAATAAAGAGGCCAGTGATTAAATTGGGAAAAATAACAAGTGAAGCCCATTCTAGAAAAGTCATGTGGGTGAGAATAGCTGAAGCTACCCAAGCAATCATAGCCAATGCAAGTTTAGGTGCCAGGCTTATGGATGTGCCTTGATCTGTGTCCCTGACAAATCTCTCTTATTGCATATTTCTCTGGAGGAGAGTTTGCATTGGGATGAGCATAACGGAGTAGAGTGGGAGAGTGGAAGTGAAAGGTAGAGTTGAGGAAGAGAGGAAGTTGGGGAAGTTGGGGTATAACATTCTTAATATTGGTAGGCTCAGGAGGAGGAGACAGAGGAAGGCTGTCCTGGAGGGGGAAAATAAGTAGAGGGTTAAATTCTAACTGAGAAAAATAAATAAATTCTAAGTGAGGCTGACCTGGAAAAACAAGCAGTATTCGGGCTACACATGACAGAAAGCTCAGTAAATCTTTTTAGTCATGGTTTCCACCCAGTGACAGTTACTTGTCCACTGTGGAGAAACTGGTCGCTGTGATTTGTAGAAATGAGCCCTGGGCTAGGGCCCCCACCCAGCTCCACCCCAACTAGCTGCATGTTGTTAAGCAGGTCATTTAACTTTTTGGGGCCTGATTTTTCAAACTGTAAAGTCAGACTTTCATTGCACAACAGAATTGTCATGAGAATTCATTAAAACAAGGAGTTTAAAAAGTGCTTTGGAAAATATTGTATGATATTTTTATCATTTCTCAAATAGTCATTCACATTACTCTGCAATGACAGAAATGAGTACACTGGTGGCCTCTCATCAGGACCCTGAAGCCTGGGGCAAGTGTCCAAAGGTGGGTCAGTTGCTCAGAGAAGTTCTGCCATCCTCCATCCCCGGGGCTGAGAGACCAAATAGAGCACCAGGGTTCCTTTCTCCCATCCAGATAAGTGCCTGGATAGGATTGCTAGCTTTAGCAAATAAAAATAGAGACCACCCAGTTAAATTTGTACTTCAGACCAACAAATCAATTTTTAGTATAAGTACGTCTCAGACAATATTTGGGACATAATCTAGAAAATTCTATAGCTTATCTGAAGTTCAAGTTTAACTGTATGTTTTATATTGTAGGTGGCAAACCTATCATAGAGACCAAGTTCTATTCCACTCTCTTTGGTCACCAGTAATAGTCATCATTAGTTTGCCTCCTGATGGGGGATGCGGTGGGGGTATAGCACCACCATGGGCTGGGGGCAGCACTCAGGTAAACTTCTACTTGTGCTCCAGGGAAAGCATCAGAGAATATGTGTGAATGGTCTCTCAAGATCGGGAAACACATAGGCACTGTGTATTGGAGAAAAGAGGAGGACAGATGGTACCTGTAGGTAGGCATTTTCTCATCTGCAAAATGGTAACAATGGCATTTGTCCAGAGGGGCTATAAAGATAAAATCATACAATACTTTGGAAAGTATTGTATGATATTTTTATGATTTTTTTTATTAATAGACATAAAGGGTGGCCTCACCTCTAAGCACTCAGTGATTGCTCAGTAAACAGAAGCGATTAACAGCAAAGATGTTGTTCATATTTTTGTGGCAATTGTCCCAAACCATCCCTCCTCAACATTTCTTATAACTCTCAATCTACAAATAGCTCCTCAGATTTATTCTGTTTTTTAAAAGATCTTGAAAACCTTGAGCAAACACCTTCGGTGGGTTAATTCAAGTCAGATACAGAGATCCAGAGTGCTGGAAGTATCTGGTGGGTGTTTTTCATCAAAACAGGCCAATAAAGCAAGGCCCTGGAAGTTCAGGTGGGAGAAGTGGGTGAGGAATTCCCTGGGAGATGGTAAGTAAGGCCACACCAAGGGCCTCAGGCAGGTTGGGGGCATTTATAAGGGTTCCAGAAGTGACTTCCTATGGACGTGCCCTTAGCCTCCTCTTCTAGGATCCAGTTCATAACCTCTGGTAAGTGGGAATGTACCCCTTCTTCTGAGATCTGCTGGGCTCTGTCCTTCTCCTTGAATTGCTTTGAGCCACTAGGCCAAACTCTTGTCCTACTCTAGGATAATCAGGGCTATGACATAGCCCAAGGAAAATTATAGAAGCGTCACACTGATTATTACTTAGGGAAATCAATCTCCATTCCATATCATTGCTACATGTGACTTATTTACTGATTCTTGGCTTGACTCCTTGTCAGGAGGACATTTCTCATCAAAGGGGTATTATTTAGAGCTATAGCATTTTGTAGCAACCCCAAGCCCTCTCTAATACATTCTTATGCTCTATTCTGACTTTTGGGCCTACTACCAAACTTTAAATTTTGCCTCTGGCTTACAGAATGAGGTATATTGAATATTACATTCCATAGTATGTAACACTCACACCTAATTATTCTGATTGCCACCACTGGGGCCCCTACTTCCCACTTATAATCACCAATTCATAAAATGAGGAATGCTGCCCACAAAGAAAAACAGAGACACTCATCATTGCTGGGAAGTGCTCAGAGAACATTTAAACCTGCATCTTCCATTAAGAGCATGGATGTCCAGAGAAGACAGGGTGCCTAGAATATGCCTAGCAGTAAGTAGCAGATTTGCATCTAGCATCCATGCCTGAACCTTCTAGGATAGCACTCTTTCCTTTGGACCAGGTTACTTCTTGATAAAATGTCTGCCTATCATCCTTTGCCACCAATGATATATTTGGCCACCATGTTCCTCAGTTTTCCAGGAGGGCTAGAACCTCTATCCTACAACCAATTTATTTTTTTTTCATTTTTCTTTTATTATTCATATGTGCATACAAGGCTTGGTTCATTTCTCCCCCCTGCCCCCACCCCCTCCTTTACCACCCACTCCGCCCCCTCCCTCTCCCCCCCCTCAATACCCAGCAGAAACTATTTTGCCCTTATTTCTAATTTTGTTGTAGAGAGAGTATAAGCAATAATAGGAAGGAACAAGGGTTTTTGCTGGTTGAGATAAGGATAGCTATGTGAGGGCATATCAAATCAACGTGAGGGCATTGACTCACATTGATTTCCTGTGCGTGGGTGTTACCTTCTAGGTTAATTCTTTTTGATCTCACCTTTTCTCTAGTTCCTGGTCCCCTTTTCCTATTGGCCTCAGTTGCTTTAAGGTATCTGCTTTAGTTTCTCTGTGTTAAGGGCAACAAATGCTAGCTAGTTTTTTAGGTGTCTTACCTATCCTCTTATCTCCCTTGTGTGCTCTCGCTTTTATCATGTGCTCAAAGTCCAATCCCCTTGTTGTGTTTACCCTTGATCTAATGTCCACATATGAGGGAGAACATACGATTTTTGGTCTTTTGAGCCAGGCTAACCTTACTCAGAATGATGTTCTCCAATTCCATCCATTTACCAGCGAATGATAACATTTCGTTCTTCTTCATGGCTGCATAAAATTCCATTGTGTATAGATACCACATTTTCTTAATCCATTCGTCAGTGCTGGGGCATCTTGGCTGTTTCCATAACTTGGCTATTGTGAATAGTGCCACAATAAACATGGATGTGCAGGTGCCTCTGGAGTAACCGTCTTTTGGGTATATCCCCCCAAGAGTGGTATTGCTGGATCAAATGGTAGATCGATGTCCAGCTTTTTAAGTAGCCTCCAAATTTTTTTCCAGAGTGGTCCTACAACCAATTTAAATGACTCTCCTTAACATCCATGGTGAGTTACGGTTGGAGTGGGGATTAGAACACAGGCATCTGTGTTCCTGGTATAGCCTTTCTCCAGCCCCATTATTTTTATAGTACAACTCTTTTCCTATTCCTCATACCCTCCTCCCTTGCCTACAGTCACTGTCTTTATTATCCAAGGTAGCCAGTTGACATCACCCAAAACCATCAGTGAAGATCACATGCCTTCAATGTGCAAAATGTCCGGGCTACTTTTAATCCTCCAGCACCCCACCTTATTTCCTGGTAATGCTGAGAAGTAGTGTATTCAGTTAAGTCAGGAGTCCATGGGAGGATGAAATCAGAATAGCATAGAGGAAGAGAGGAAGATCACAATGAGCATATGTGAATCAATTCATTAATCAACTTGAGGCTGTTAATCGTGTATCACATCTTTGGCTATTGGAGGAAAGCACTCTGTTAGGAGTCAGATGGGAGGAAAGATGGAAGGATCCCTTCTCATGGAGTCCTTATGTGCGTTTCCTTAAGGCTCACCTGTTCCTGGGGCAATGTCTTCCCAGCAGCAGCAGCAGCAGAAATGCCCACCCCAGCATGTCCAGCAGCAACAGGTGAAGCAACCCTGCCAGCTACACCCTGTCAAATGTCAAGAAAAATGTGCACCTAAAATCAAGGATCCATGTGCTTCTCAGGTCAAGAAGCAATGCCCACCCAAGGGCACAGTCAATTCAGTCCAACAGAGTATCCCTCGGCCCAGCAAGCCCCTCAGTGCAAACAGAAGTAAGAATGGGCTGGGGATTATCACCTGCCCACCATCCAGACTACCACATGGAGTTTCCTCTTCTGCCTGCTCTTCTTCCCTCCAGCTCCCGAATTTTCCCTCTTCCTCATCTCTAGGGTCCAATGAAGAATTGTAAGGATTTTTTTTCCTATTGAACCCCTCAGCACACGTATCCTTTCTGTGCCAATGTTTCTTCTATAACCCACCCTGATGCAATGCCAGGTGGGCATTAGAGAGACCTTATCCTCTGCAACCTCCAGCTTGGCCGTAATTATAACCTTATCTATGTCTCAAAGCAAGGAAAGTATCTGGGTTTCTTCTGAGATCAGGTCCCACCCTGATGCATAGGGACACCTGAGCTGATCCAAGCTCTGCCTTAGTCTGATTCCCAATATCCCTTCTGTGCTTTTCTGCTAATAAAGTTGTGCTTCATGTAATGAATTTGTCTGTTCCTGGGCTGACTGCCCCTGTCCATTCCCAGCCCAATTTTGTGATCTGTTCATTTGTTCAGAAGTCATACTTCAGGAAGTATGTGAGTAAATGTCCCTGGGTATCTAGGGAGTCATCCTTATGGGCACAGTTAATCTCTGGTAGCTAATGATGGGGAGCGATCAGGGAAGGCCTGACACATCTCTGCTAAAACAGGGAGTGTCGGGGGGAGAACAGGCCCAGGGATTAGTTGGAAGAGTTTCTCAAGACTGAGAAATGCTTAATTAATTGCATGTAGGGAAGATGAAAAGACAGAGGAAGCTTTTTCCAGAGCCATCCAGAGAAAACCTATCCCAAGTCTCAAGTGTACTTTTTAGAGGTCAGTTGTTTTCTTACACAAGGATTTTTCCAGGGAGAGACAGCCATGTCTGAGGGTTTGTTTGATGTATACAGGGCTTAGTTTTGATAATCTGACTTTATCAGTTTATGAAAGAAATCCTATTCTTACAACTACATCCTAAATCCTCCGTCCCTGGTACTGGACTAGTTGTTTATCTTAGAAAGAAGCAGCAAGCCTCCAAGATGCGAAAAGGGATGAGTCTTTAAAATAAAGACACCAGGGGAGGAGGAGCAGCTAAATATGGCCAGGTTTTTTGCCCTTGAGCTTTATTCTCCTCTTGGGATTTTCTCACTAATTTTTAATTGCCACCATTAGCAACACTATTAATAAATGACTTCCTCATTTAAGCTACTAGGCTGAAAAGTAATTAAGAAACACTTCCTTCATTTTCCCTTAAAATCACTGTCCATGGCTGATATGTCCAAGAAGTAATTATTTAAAATTTAGTGGACACAGATATTAACCAGGAACCTTAAAGTACTGTAAAAACAATTAAAGCTCACAGTAAGTGCTTCTAAAACCCTAAGAAGTCTTTCATACAAGTTTTGTTTCACAATCCTCCACATACCCAACTGACTCCTGTGTCAAGTAGAAAGGCTGCTCCATCTTAGTAGCTACCTAACTGGATTCCTTCCATCCAAGCCCCAGTCAGTTTCTGGGGTCATACTGTTTTTGGATGTCATGTCCATGTCTTCCAGAAAGGTCTGGTGAATTCTCTCAAAAACTTTTGAATTCCAGAGCTGGCAGATTTTCAGTGTTTTCACTACTGGAACATACATGAATGACTAAAACAATGAATGCTTCACTGTCATCTGTCTCAGGTTGTTAATTCAGCGGGAGGAGGAAATACCTATCACTTCCACACCAATAACCAATGACAAAGTGCCATCCCTGGGAATATGTGAGGATTCATTTCCCTCATAAAAACATGATTTTATGTAATCACAACTTTCAAAGGCTCACAAAGCAACATTGACTTATATCAAAGACCCATCCATTATGTGGTGAGAAAGGGCTGATTTGTTCATTCCTAGTTACCTTTCACATAAAGCAAGATGGCGTCAGAACACATCATTTGGTTCAACATCCTCACTGACCAAAAAAGAAAACTGAAGTGCTCACCCATAATTCCTACATATTCCAAAGAATAAAAATTCTTGCACCACTCCAAAATGTCCCTACTAGACTTCAAACACATCACTGTTCAGCAACTTCAGATAATTCACTTTTCTCCAAATACGTCATTCAATTTTGACGCCTCTGTTTTTTGGGCTTATTCTATTTCTCTTCACTATTATGTTTAGGGGATAATCTTAATTTTAAAAGTTTGGCTCAAATATTTCCATGGAGCTGCTGTTAACACTTTAGAAAGAACTGATAACTCTCATACACCACTTTTGTAATATGCCATATAATTTAATTTTTTATTAATTAAGCATATAGTTAATTTTTCATTATAATTCAGTTTGCATGCTTAATTATCCAGTTAAAGCATAAGGATTGTATTAGTCTCATAATCCCCAAATGCACAATTACTGGCTTTTCAAAAGTAGAATGGAACAACTGTGGCAAAGCAGAGGTAGAGTTTTCATCTAGACCAAATTTATATATATCGCTTCTCGGCCTTTTGGCTAAGATCAAGTGTAGACCAAATTTATAAATTACTCACACTCAGCTTGGGTCCTGAAGAATCCAGAGAGAGGAGAAGTGCAAGGAGGTAAGCCAGGACATTTTCACCCTGGGATAATTTGTGGACTCTGCACATGAAGAGAAGAATGAAGCCGTTGACTTTTCACTGTGGACCACCTGGCTAAGGACAGAGGAACTAAGAGAGTTTATGGATTCTTCAGAGGATTTCAAGCAAGTGGCTGATTTTCTACTCAGAAAACTCAGTGAATTCTGGAAATGCTCATAACAGGAAGTCAGAAAGTCTGTAACAAGCTTTTAGAAGATTTATGAGATAATGAATGGAACTTGCAAACTGCTGGTGAAGGGACCATGATTGACTTAAATCATTTTTTCACTATTCCTGTACAGAAATCACTAATTTCCTAGCTCCATTATACCTTCAAACCTGTCAATGAAACTAAAGCATTCTGTCTTTCTGAGTATGTTCACAAAGCCTCTAAGCACTGTAGTGGGGGAAAGATGGTTCACTATCCTCATATTTTGGACTTTGGTCATGCCCCAAACACTCCTCACCCAGAAAAGTTCTCTCCACCCCAGAAATAAAACAATGCCCCACCTGACCCATCTGTCACAAATCTGACTGTGTCAAATTCTCTGTCACCTCCTCCTATGACCAGGAACCCCTCAGAGGCAAAATGACTAGGCCAGCGCATCTGCAATGGAGCTGTTCAACATTCATTCCTTTTGTCAAAACTGCAGGTACTCTGTAGTCAGGCTGAACAGAAGCGAATCCCAGTTTTCCATTTATTATCTGTTTTATTGCATTTAGTCTATTAGGTCCCAAGCCTAAGGTAACTGACAAAGCATCAACAAGGATACTCCCCTACCTAGGTGGTTGTAGGTAGAAGTCTCCTGACTCTGGCTCAGGAATCTGCTACTATGTAAGTGTTATCCGTTTCCAAGTCTGGGGGAAGTGAAGCTATGACCTGGGAAAGAGGCGATTTGGATTCTGGTTCTGGCTCTACTACTGAATAGATCTGTGACCTCGAGAAATTTCCTTAACTTCAGTCCTTTAGCCACAAAATGATAAGCTGTATTAGATGCCTTCTTTCTACTTGAAAATTGGGTGGATCCTTGAATTCATTTGGGCTTTTGCATTTTTGTGGATCCTGTTCCCTAATTCTCTCTCTCCACCCCATGGAGGTGGAGCTGGTGATGTCCTAATAAACAAAGTACAAGTGTTTGGGGCATGAGAAAAGTCCAAAAAATGATATAGTAAATAAATCAATGAATGAGGTCAGATTCTATGAACAATTTCACACTGTGGTAACCAGAAGATCTAAAATGAAGTGGCAACTGTGGGTTGAAGGTAACTTTAAAAAATTACAAATTGTTTTTGAATTATATAGATAGGCAGGGGAGTGGGGAGGGCAATGAAAGAAATCAAGATTTGCCACTCCAAAATTCGCAATCTTGACATAAGGATTATTTTGAGCTGGCAGCAGAAAATCTCGATAGATACAGAAAGAGTTTCCTGTTATTTCCTATCTGCCTAAAAGCAATAAATAAATTTACTTTTGTGAGGTAGCACCAGGATGCTGAGATCAGCCTTCATTACTGAGGGCAGAGAGCCAGCTCCAAGGGATGGAGGCAAGACTCAAGTGGTAGAGCTCCTATCTAGCAAGTGCAAAGCCCTGAGTTCAAACCCAGTACCACCAAAAAAAGAAGAGCCACAGCACAAAGACAATTCTGTGCAGTCTTACTGAGATAATTCTTCCATTCCACTAGTTCTTCATACAGTTTTTAGTCACTTTTTCACAATTTCTTATCCCTTCAAGCACAAACCCTCTGACCTTTGTTTTTTGGTTTTCTTTTTCATTTCTCTTTAACAGCTTTTTTGAGATATAATTCATGCAATTCACCCACTTAAAGCATGCAATCTAATGACTTGTAGTGTGTTCACATGGTTTTACCGCCATCTTAACAATCACATTTAGAAAATTTTCATCACATAAAAAGAAAATCCATCTCTATTAGCAGTTATTCTCGTTTCTCTCCTCTATCCCAAGAATCCTCCTCCCCACCCAATCAATTATCCACTTTCTATTTGTGTATACTTGACACACATTTTTATATTTCTCCTATTTAACTGTTACTACATAGTGTGTAACCAACATCTCCCCATTCTCCCTCTCTCTAACCACCTTGATCTATCATTCTATTTATTCTGGTTCCATGAGATCATTTTTTTAGATTCCACATGAAAGAGGTTATGTGATACGTTTTTTTCTGTGCCTGGTTTATTTCACTAAAACAGTATCTCCTAGGTCCATCCATGTCACAAATTACAGGATTTTATTCTTTTTTTCCATAGATGAATAGTATTTCATTGTGTATGTATACCAGGTTTTCTTAATCTATCCATCTGTTGATGAGCACTTAGGTTAATTACTAGCTATTATGAATAGCACTGCAATAAATATGGGAATGTAGTATTTCTTTCACTGTACTCCCATGCTGATTTTATTTCCTTTGCGTACATATT